AAGTTGAACTCTCAGTATAGATATCTGAGATCATGTTTGTTTACTTGTTGTTAAACATTTGTTTACATTTTTTAAAACTTGTGTCACTGTAAACATTTAAATCTTTGTTACTATTGTTTTTGATTGCTTGTTTTAAAGCTTTTCCTTATTTGACTAAAGGAAAACCTCAGTGTCCTAATAGTGACTTTATGAGCACATTGGTTAGATCTGTATGCTTTTCTAAAGCCCTCTGAATAGTATTGATATTGTGTGTGACACTAAATGAAGTAAAAAAAAAAAAAAAAAGCAATTACTACAGTTTGAAATCAGCCTAAAGCAATAAGGAGTAGTTCTCTCTGTGAACACAGGTTTTTGATTAACTGCAATGTTTATAGTTTCAAATTTAAAAGCTGTGTACTATTTCTAAATAAACACTAATTTTGATATATGTCAAAGCCTGTATTTCTTTTTACATTAGGGTTTACATCACATTTCATTCAACTCAATGCTATCCATCATCTTGTGAGTGTTAACGATGGGAGGGAGGTTCTTGCAGATGCCATACATCTCTAGGCTGCTGGTTTCATTATGTTAAGGAGCTGGCTTCCAAAAGAGGGTAAGAGCACTTTCTCCCTGACTTTTGACTCACTATAATAACTCTGGACAAGCTCAAAAATGTGTCTGATTTAACTGTGGCAACTTAGCGCCACATGGGGGCAGTGTAACACCACACATAAGGCAACATGTCCACCCAGCGCTCTGGATGAGCTTTCACTGGTTTTAATAGAACGGAGGCTTCAGAAAAACATAAAATAAAAACAGATTCAACCGAGAATGGATTTTTCCCTTTCAATGGTGCAACTTTAAGTCCTGTATCAGCAGCTTTTGCAGCAGGCAAAGATGCTCCAGTGCACTCAGCGGATGTTGTCTCGGAACTTTCTGAATATTGACAGACACTGAGCCCGTCTGGCAGGGAGACTATTTCTGGCCCTGCTCGGGTTGCTGCAAGTGACCTCGTGAAAGAATGGAGATTAAAAAAAAAAAACTTAACGAGGATCCATTATTTCTGAACCAGTGGATCATCTGGTCCGATTTTAGAAAATAAAAAATATTTTTTCAAACAAATGTGCCATCAGACTTTTCTGCGCCGTCGTGCTACTGAGAGAGCGCACTCCTCTGACCGCAGGCGCAGTTTGCAACAAAATCCCAATTAGTGATGTTGCTCCTACACCTTCACATCCCTACAAGCAGGGATTATATTTTACCGCCTTTGGTCTCAGCTTATTGTCATATATATAGTAGACATTTGGCTTTTAAGTTGAGAAATCCGGTCTTTCAGTAGAAAAGCAGACCTTATTGTGTGTTTTTCAACAACTGGAAGTCTCCAGCATAGAAACAGACTCCAGAAAAGAGATTTAACAGTAATAACTGCGCACTCAGTTTGTCAGATACCACTTTTTATCCAAGAATGAGTTTGATTTTAAAGTAGTAGGGCCTATACCTTGGGATCATTTATTATTGACCCTAACATCTTATCCCCTGCAGCATATATATCAATGTAAATTGTCCACAGACTCAGGACTCCTGAATTTTCAGACTGAACCCTTCTGCCTTAAAGCATTAATTTAGGGGTTGGGATGTTTTTTTTCCAGTTAAGGCTCACGAGAATGGCTTCCTGTGACCTATGAATTAAGACTTATTGCACAATATTAGTATAAATATATTCTCAGTGAACGTATGTTAAATAGCACAATGACCGCTTCACTGCCCCTTTCAAAACTTTTAATCTTGCAATCCATTTTACTCTAATGCAATCAATCAAAGCCACAATGTCTCATGTAGGTTTTTTTTTTTCAGGTTTTTGTTTACAATACAATTGTAAAAAAAAACAAAAAAAAAAAACTAAACAAATCATGCATTTCAATTATGTGAAAAAGCTCAGTTCAATGATTTACAAAGCGTCCAAACATAATAGGTTGTATGTTTACATACTGGGAATTAGTGGTGATATCAGGTTGTTAAAGGTATGTGTCATTTCTCAGTGGGGTATTATAACTTAATTTAAGCATAAAGGGATAAATGTTATGAGTATAGGAAATGGGATTTTGCCTTAATCTATTACAACCTATAGTCATCTTTGTTCACATATTCATTCATTCACACTGCAGATAAACAGGAAGGTTAATGCAGGAATATTGATCTTAACGGAAGGATTGTTCCTGAAGTTAAAAGCAGATTCTCCCATGGGGGTCGATAATTATTCTATATTACAAAACTGGAAAGACAAACTCCAGCCTACATAATGTAAGCTTCACCACAACTCATAAGCACCGTTCTGTTCAGAACTTAAACACATGAAGGGACATATCGTTTTGGTGAAAGTAGTGCCCCTATAAACGGAAAAAAACAACAACCCAGAAACAAATACCCATATCTAATGGGCGAGTAAAGAGTAAATTCAATTTTGCATCGTTAATCTGCGTCCAGAAAAGTGTTTGATGCAGTTTTCACTGATGCTATCAGGGCCATCCGATGAAGAGGAGATAAGTGCTGTTGGCTGTTGCCTCCATTAGCTGCCTGGCTTTAGGATAAAAGCCCTCCACCTCTCGATCCCCGCTGGGACATTAATGCTCTGCTCTGTAGATTGTTGAACAGACTGAGCACCAACTTTAAAATTTCCTCTATTCTACAGTCATTTGTTTGTTTATTGTTTGCAGATTTGTCCAAACCAAACCAAATATATACTCTGTGACAGTCCGGAGCTGTCCGTGGTGCTGGCTGTCCGTGGTGCTGAAACCGAACCAACCATTTAGTTAGATACAGTACAGCTACCTAAATTTCACAACTAGACTTACAAAGTGCCTCATTTCTGGCACACCTGCATTAGTACCTCATCTACACCCAGTTCAAAGCCAGACGGATCGATTCGTTATAGATCTGAGCAAGGATTAATCTGCTGAAAACAACACCGGTGCACTTTTTCCTTCTGTTCGCAGGTGGCACACTTAGTTCAAAGGTGTTTTGGGAACCAAAACGACATTGTTATCCCCTAAGCATATGTTGCGTTTTCTCCCCACCAAAACAAAAAATAAAGTAGGGTATCTTTCACAGAAGATCGCACAACCAAGTGCTGGCAACAGGAGCGAAAGGGAGACATCTGAATGTATCGGATACCCCTCACCTCGGGTCGTTAGTGGACATCGATCTCCTCTAAAGCTTAATGACTGCAAATACAGCGCAGAACAATCAATCGCCATCAACACGCAGGAATATTCTGGGATGGGATAATTGATAGGCTGTCTCCTGGTGCGCAATGGAGATGCTGCGGTGATTAAATTCTGTTTAACATCTTGGTTCATCGCGGTTCAGAGATGGGAAGGAGGTTGGCTTACATCATCCTCGCCTATCTCTAAGCGTTGATATCTGTGCGTGATCTGGAACATGAGCACAGCGAAGGTGCTGGGCACACTATTAGATGACGGGATGGGATCCCTAAGGCATACAGCTGTCCATCTGCGAACAGCATTGATCCCCCACAGCTCATACACGCTCAACTTTACACACATATAACGAGGTGCTGAAGAGTGACAGGTCACACCTGTTCATCTTCCATTTGTGTTCAAAACCAATAAGAATTCTTATTGGTTTTTAAAAAGGTGAGGCTGTTGCAAGTTAAAAGGAAAAGGTCTGCATTTTTATTTATGTCGTTTTCAACTCCTTAAATGACACATTTTATAAAAATCATAATTATGGCAGGTTTATATGGAAAGCCAAGAATGCAACAGATAAAAATCTATGAAAAATGTTAGAATTAAGTTAAAGGTGCAAAGTTGTAACATAGATAATTAATAATAATGTAAGAGCATCATTCGTTTATCAATTGCAATGAGTTAGCCTACCCTTGGAAGTATTAGATTTCTTTTAATATTTTTTCAACTGCTCCATGGAATAATTAAACCATTAAGGCTCAACAACTATAGATTCTGTAATCTGATCAGTCAACCCTCTCATAATGCTAAGTTTAGTTTGTGTCAGAAGTCAGAGAAGATCTGCAAATTAAGTTACACCCAAGGTGTGTACTACTGTAGGTCGGGGAACCAAATAAATTTACTATTTGATGTATTGCTTGGTACAATGGGGAATATTACATTTGCTTTGCATCCATTCAAGAACTCAAATAGCATGTTTATGAATAAAGGTTGTGTTTCTCCAAGTTTACTGACACTCCAAATGTCTGGAAGCCACATTGGATGCAACCCTACGGTTGGTAAAGGCAACATTTCTTGTCTTCATGTTGCATTTCAAATAATTAGTTCTCCCACTCTCAGAAATGTAAATATAGGAAATTACATTGGCTTTAACTGAAAATCTGTGCTTTAGTCTTAAAAAATGAGCTTTTCAGCAACAAGACCTCCTTCTTGGTGAGATCAATGTGTGGAACAGGGCTTCATGTCCAATGTTAAGTATGGTGGAGGATCTGTGATACTGTGGGCTTATTTGTCTTTCAGATAACCTGGTGACCTTGTTACAGGCAATACCAGAATGGACTGTTTAGAATATCAGGAACTAGAAAAAGAGTATTTGTTGGACTCTACCAGAAAACGGACGATGAAGGATCATTTTTAATACAAATTTCCTATACACAGAGGTAGGCCATTATTTTACTTTAAACCTTTGGTGTAGGTTAGACTGTACGGATGACATGATGAGGTGTTTCACCACTGTGGGAAAATAACATGTAGGATTTCTCTTTCTTTTTACAAAAATGTACACTAAGTTTTTAAAACTTTAATCACAAAGTGAGACATGTATTTCTGCACACCAACCTCCATAAGATTGAACGCTTCTCCAAATGATTTAGTATCGATTGTCTCTAAAACAATATGATTGATTACGTTTCCACTGGGGTCTGCTCTGTAAACTACATGACATCAGTGAGGGAGAAGAAGCGGGGTGCGGAACGGAGCCGGGTGAACGGGGCGGGCGCTGTTGCACGTGTTCTGAATCGGGGAGGACGAGCTCACATCGCGTTCCTCATGTCCAATCGATCCCCGCTCGGGAGGAGCGACGGGAGAGCATTGGAGTATCACTCCTGCATCCCTGTGCCCCATCACTCTCATCAGCATCTCTCCAGCGACAGCAGCGCATCTCCGTGACAGACTCAGGCAAACGGTTTGGTGATAAGCTGGAGGAGAGGAACTTGTTTGGAGCCGGAGCTCGCTTCGTGGGGGAATTACGCACTTCTGGAGACTTTTCTGCTCCTTCTGATCTTAACAAGAGACTTCTCACCTTTGCTGCTACTTAAGTTATTTTTTTGTTGCGTTATTGGTGTCGGATCTGGACTAGAGGCTCGAAAGGATTGACTCCTTAAAGTCTGGAAGTTGAAGCTGAAAAGTGAATAAGCGCTCCTCTCACTTGGATCCCGTACAGTGCGCACTGATCATGCCTCCGATATTGTAGATTCGGGTAAGGTGTTTCCCACTCACATTCAGCCTAACTGCCCATCTCTTTTCGCAGCAATAGGATCATGGCACAAGGATGCAGTCACTGATGAGTCCAAGCAATGAACGATGACTCCATAGTGTCACTTTCATTTATTTCCTTATCTTCTTAAGTTATCAAGTGATGATCATGTAAAACATCTACCATACATTCACAAATTTATACGACGAGTTTATTGAAAGCACCCAAGCCAGTTTTATCCATTATATGTGGAGCAAACTACGGCAGATGGAGGTGAGACTGATGCGGCGTTTCATGACTAGAGGTTAAAGGAGCGGTCGGAGAGAGATTCCAGCTCATCGGGCTATTTTATTTGATGACTTTGCATGGGTTATAATGGACTGGGAGCTGGAACCAAAATGCGTGGAGATCAGAGACATTTAAGATATGAAGATGACAAAGAAATAAAAACCCGGAGCTGTCGGCATCTCTGAGCAGATCGTGCGCACTGAGGTGGTGTGAGAGAGAAATGTGCTGCAGGAACTCTCTATAGTACGCACACATACTTCCCCTATCTCTCTCTCTCTCTTCTGCTCACACACACACACTTAAAGTGAGAGGCGAAAATTACTTGCTGCATGTTAATGGCCGCAGTAATGAGACCAAACCCCTATCGTGTTGTAATTGTTTGCCCCCCTTGTTTCCTCCCACCCCCTCATATCGTTCGGCTCTGCAGCTTGTACTGTATTTTAGACGCTGTAATTATTTCCCCCATTGTTTGTTTTTGTTGCTTTGTAACTCTGCTCTGACACTCCTCTGAAGGCGCTTTATTGGGGCGGACAGGAGAGCGGGGGAAAGGGGAGAGGAGAGGGCGGCTGAAGAGGATATGTCCTCGGACTTAATTCTCATTGACAGTCACATTAACACTGGAGCAGCGCTCTTAATCCTGGGGAGATTACTCTCTCCAACCTGTCACCCAGTCACACACAGTGTGACAAACACCTGTATAAAGGTGCGATTCTAGTGTTTGTGCATGCACACACACACCTACATGGATAACTACCAGAATATTCAGGCAATTACTCCATCTAAGGCTTGCTTTAAATGATGTGCAAGCAGAGGTGTCTCTTGTGTAACTGGTAGCCTGGGCTGGTGTTTCTTTCTGCCCCCCATGTAATCATATTTTATGTAAATACTACCATGCTACTTCCTGCAGTTTTTGTTTTTTTATGCAAAAATAAAACTACATAACTTTTAATAATTACCTGAAAAATAGAGACTATAACATTTGATAATCAATCTACATGCATGCATTAGGTGGACAGAATTTTTGAGAAAGTTATTCGTAAAATATTTTGTTTTTGCAGTTTTACGTATATTTATTTGTTTATTTTTTTTAGAATAACTGCAAATGTATCCGTGTGATGTTTTGTCTTGGCAACTTAGGCTTACAGCATGGTGGGTCTGGTTAGCCAGCTATGTCAGGGAAGATTTCCTCTACACAAGATAAAATAATTTATTAGTAATCAAAAGGACCATGTTATGCTTCTGTTTAAGGCACAAAGATAGAAAAGGTATGTTTTTTTGTGATAAGCAAGAAGCTAAGAAAGCTTTGAACAATGGTCTACTTTTTCTGTGTTTCCCAAAAAAGTATAAAGCTTTAATAAATATGGGGAAAAAGCTGCATTGCCTGTATCAATACATCTACAGATATTCTGGAGCCTATTCTGCTTTACATGTCTCCTCACAGAGGGTTCAAAATGATTGGCTGTGAATGAAAAAAGGAGGATGGATTGCGTGCACGTGTGAATGTGCATGAGACCAAACAGAGCAGGCAGAACGGATGGCTGTGTGGAGGGAAAAGGTGCGCAAGGGAGGCGAGAGAAAATGAGCCAGAGAGACTGCACGATTTGTGAAAGATGGGATGAGGGAAAGAGGTAAAATGACATGTGCACATTAGATTTTGTTACTTGTAAATGACAAGGCTTTGTCTGCATAATATACCCTATAGATATGTGGGGATCAAGCATGTGTGATTGATGAAGTGACATCAAGATGACAGATTGGGAATCACCTACACTCCTACTGGTGTTAACACATTGATTGTAATCAGTGCAAAGAGGAGGAGGAGCAGAGGAACAAACTCTGTCAGGCTGTGGAAACAGAGATGGAACAAAAGCCCATGATTTAGAAGTGTCTGCATCCAGTCAGTTTCTGTGTGCATTGATCCAGAAAGCATGAAGTAATGTCACTGAAACACAGTGGAAAATATCGCTCATCTAAGCCAAAAATCAGAGAAACGGAGGAGAAGACTGGCAGGTCTTCTTAAGGCAGGAGATCCATTACTCTAATGGAGGACAGAAGGGAAGTAGATCAATGAGTGTGAGCGCTGTGTGGATTTGTTTCATGTCACAGAGCAAAACCACAACTGAACTGAGGTTGTGACTAGTGGTGAGAGAGAGTGCATAGTGGTTTGGACCATATCCACTGACTGCGTAGGCCTCCAACATCAAAATGGATCCGTATCAAAAGAGCATAACCAGGGATCAGGATGCGACTATAAACAGCGTAGAATTAACATATACTGCTACACACATTCATAAAAAAAAGCTTAAGTTATTGTTGATTGAAATTTCAATCAAAATTAAAGTTCCCTTCAGCAAATGCTTGTGTAATCCTTTAGAGTTTTCCAACTGCGCATCAATCAGGCTGTTAAAGCAGATTCCAGCCGGGTTTAGACAGCAGAGTTTTCATCATTCCTCTGCACAGCTGAGTGTCTGTATGTTAACTTTCTTCTGTCCATTCAGCAAGTCTCGTTTGGCAGTGAAACACCATCCAGACGCATGACAAGAAGCTTGAGAAGACAGTGTCAGGTCTTTGCCCCAAAAGCAGAGTGAGCAGACGATGAACAATTACTCATACAGTACTGAAATTTTCCACCTAAAGGGGGAATGGGGGTTCAAATATCTAATGATTTTTCTGCAAAAACAAAACAGGAAATAACACCACTTCAATTGCCTCAAGGTGAATTTCTCTGCCGCTTTCCCTTTCTTTGAGCATGACAAATCTCCCTAAGTGATAGTAATGATTGTAATTGAACAGGCACAGTTCCTTCCCACCTTGATCCATCTATCACCTTGGATGCAATCTGCTGCCTTCGACTCGTGCATTTGTGCACACGTCTGCATGCGAGTCGGTCTCTCCCCCTTTGGCAGCTGGCAGATGTGCCGGTAACCACTAGTGACAGCAGAAAGTGTTAGCTGGATTATGAGATGCTCCTTTTATGGTGTGTTTGCATGGATCTATTGCAAAGATAGGAGGAAACTCAGAGCCCAGGGCGGTCGTAACAGCCCCCCTCAAAAAATGAGGGAGAGGAGTTTCTGTAACCCTGTGGGATGCAGGGCACAGAAGTGGTGAAAGGAACAGGAAAGGAAGAAATGATGTAAAAAGGAAAAGAAATACAAGAAAGAGAGCCAGGGCAGGGTCTGAATGGGGAGCAGGAGTGAATGAGTGGGGAAGAGTGATGCCTCGACAAGGAGGAGTGTGGTTAGTCAGGGCTGAACTGAAATCTGTCAGAGCAGCAAGGGAGAGTGTGTAAATGTGTATGTGGGTGTCTGTTTGTGCTGGAGGTGATGGCTTTGTAATGAAAACACCGGCTGAGGGTCCCTCTTCATGGCTGACTGATGTCAGTCACAGTCTGACAATAGCCTCCCCAAGGATGGCTGATCTGATGGATGGGTGTTGTTTGTGGAAATAGTAAAAAACAAAATGAACTCTTAATGCAGTGTAAAATTTCATTGCAACTTTTAATTTAGTTTTAAATTAAAACATTTTTTTAGTTGACTATATTTAGTCTAGGCTTAGTTTGTTTAGAAATTAGTTTATGGTCATGGAGGAATGCATTTTGGATATCCATTACAAGACTCCTTAAGTTTATTGTTTTTTTTTGCAGTTGTCGCTGCAGTTACTGTTAAAAACATTGAATGAGAAATATTTCCCATATGACCGGCCCTTTTTTCTTCCCAGGGTCGACATTTTCCACCATTGGTTGGATGCTCATTTCTATCACCAGGGGATTGCATCTATTGGGCTAGTTATACTGCTCAATTTGCTTTACTTTACGAATAAATTAAATCTGTTTAATTTCCAGTTCAGATCATATTTCCATTTTTTTGTTTGTTTTCATATTTTCTTTTGATTGTTTTTCTTAAGTATTTACTTCATTTTTAACAAAGTTACCATGAGCCAAGTCTAAGGTCCACTGATCAGGCCTTTACTCTCTAAAAAAGGACTGATGTTACCTTTTTAAGGCCTGACCTGTTGATTTTGATTCATATTGATTTATTTTTTATTTCAGATTATAAAACACAGAGGGGTAAAATATGCTGCAGGTTCTTTGATAGAGGGAAGAAAATATATCATAATCATATCAACATTATGCACATATTTATGCATCAAAGTATGTATCCTTCACCTTTATCTGACTCTTATAATACAAAGCAAAGCTCTGCAAACAAAAATGTGTTTGCTGAATGTTATTGAATCAAAAAGTTGGGAAATCAAAGTTTTTTTGTTATTTTCTCTTCAGTATTTGACCTGCAGATTACTGATCAGATCTAGTACAGGGAACTTTGTCAAACATTGAACTCTGGCCCATTGATTGGTGCTTTTGGAGTTCAAATACATTTTATTGTAGATTCTGCACTGACATAATGCGCAAAATGCTTAAAATCTATATTGCTATGATGTACCTCAAATTCTGGAAGGTTGTGATTTAATAATTATTTAGGCACAACATCAATGATCCAGTTGCAGCCACTGGAGTTACATCCACTTTGATTTTAACATTTTAACCTCCTAATAAAGAAAATCATTACATTGTGGATTAGAACCTTCACATCTGGTGCAATTGTATGAAAGGTATTCAGTGCCAACAGATCTGTTTGGGATATTTGTGCATAATCCCTGTTTGGAATTGCTTTTGTGAGCGTGTGACAGAGGGTTAGAGGCCCTGCTTGTCTGAG